CTTAATTTGTCGCGCCCTCAAGGATGTGGCAAAACCAGACACCACCCATCACATATACGTAGGGAATACGATGGTCTGGGAAAAAATTAAGCGGTTATGGTGGTTAGACAAAATCGGTACGGACAGAAGATTTATTCGATGCACCCTGAAGGATGAAGAGATCCAGCAGGAGGTGACAATCGCATATCACCAGCGTAAGACGAATCATCGAGGAATACAAGAGGCATTGCAGGCACTAAAACGAAAGTATTTTTGGTTGGGAATGAGACAAATAATCAAAGGAGTCATTGGGACTTGTGAAATATGCTTAACCACCAAATACGATAGGCACCCTCCCCAGAGTAATACAGGAAGAGACGCCAACGGCAGACTCACCATTAACGGACCTACAAATAGACACTTTCACTTGGAGAGGATATAAATGGGTCATGCTGATGGATCTTTTTAGTAAGGCAGCAATGGCGTACCTGATCCAGGAGCAGTCGTCAGAAACAGTCTTGGGGGTTCTAAGAACATGGTTCCAGTTTTATGGCATACCTGACCGCATTGCATCAGATGGGGGAAAGGAATTTAACAATGCCATTATGTGAGCAGAGGCGAAGATCTTGGATATTACATGGCACATTAACACACCAGGACACCCAAAGAGTAGAGGGAGCATAGAACGACTACACAGCATGCTTAGTGACCACCTTAGAATATATCACGCAGAAAAAGGGTTAGAACACGGTGTGGCGATGTCGAAGGCTATCACAGCATATTATCATTCAATTCATACTGCAACAGGTTTTTCGCCTTTAGAGATCCTCTTTGGGTTGCAGGAATGGCGCAGGGATAGCATGAGTACGACAGCGGACGAGGAATTATCAGAACGTGTCGTTAATAATAGAATAGCGTTTGTGAAACGATGGGAGAAAGTCCAGAGTAAAATTGAGAACAAAAAAAGTAGGAGGGTAAGAAAAGATAACTTAGGGGTCAAAGACGTACTGGGCGATAATAAAATTGGAACGATAGTGTACAAGAGGAAAGGGTCCAATAGGGGCAAGGAGATAGTGAGGTACGAGGGCCCATTCAGGGTGATTGCCATTCGTGAACTTAACATTGTATCTATAGAGAGCTTGAAAGAGCTTAAGAAGCACAGAACAGTCCACATCGAACAACTAAAGCCCCCAAGAGGAGCGTCAAGGCAACCATAACTGGCAGGAATGTTCTCATTGTGGGACAGGAAGTTTTTTTTTTGTAGTTATATTTTTGTAATATAGCAGATTTTTTTATTTTTTTTATTGCTTAACCATTGTTTTGTATCAACTGAATAAAGTAACCACAGTGCAATGGAACAACACAAGAAATGAGTTAAGTGTATATATTAAAAAAAAAAAAATGTTCTCATTGTTAACCAGTGCAAAATTTTATTGGTCAAATAGTGTAGCCTGATGACGATTTACTCCAGCCTTGACCTACCTGTAAGATTCAGATATTAGTTTACAAAGAATATTCATAAACTGGCAGGTGGGAGTTAAGGTCCGATGTGAGATAGATAAGACTTCTAAGATTTAATATTATTTCTTTCATTTAAAAATAAACACATGTTATAGATATACTGTGATATAAACTCTATTGTTTGTAAAATAAAAACTTATTTGAAAATTAATCTATTTCCAGTTGTTTGTTTCTTTATTTTTTCTATTTATCGAAGCCAATAGTTAACTTATATATATATATATATATATATATATATATATATATATATATATTTTTTTTTTTTTTTTTTTCCTGCTCGTAACCTATTGAGTCATAGGCAGATCACAATACTTGTCTAGTTTTTCACAATATTTTCATGTATTTTCACTTAAACGTCTTAAAGAACATATATAAATCATTTATTTACTCTATTTATTTTTTTTTATATTTTATCACTAAAATTGGTTACCTATAAAACTTATTTCCAATTTTATTTAGTTATTAGTATGTTTTTGTGCCAATATTATAATATTGTAACCCTTGTACCCATCTGCTTTCCTGCTTTTAGTTACTCTTTATTGTAATAGGTCATCTGGCCAGATTTATTGTCAATTGGTTTGAACAATATTGTTATTCTTAAGGGACCTAGTACCAGAATAAAGATGCTTTTCTATTCTATTTCTATTTCTATAAGGTTATGCAACAAAAATGATTTCTTTCAACATATGTCTATTTTAGGGCATAGGTCACAAAAAAACACCTATAGGTCACCAAAAAAAACACAGTTTTTTTTTTATTTATTTCTTGAAAATGGCTCCTGAAGCCGAAACGTTGAATAAACATACAGGAAATAAATAAAAAAAACTGTGTTTTTTTTGGTGACCTATGGCCTAAAATAGACATATGTTAAATTATGAGAAAATGGCACCAAACCCGAAGGATGTGACTAGAAAATGATTTCTTTCTTATTTTTTGACAAATTAAAGTATATTTAGATTATATGTATCAGGTAGTTTTAAGTTGTTTTAAATAAGAAAAGGCTGTTTAATGTCCCCAAAGTTAATTGTTTTTATTTATTTTATTATTATTAATTCTTTTCATTGTATGTATTTTTAGGGCAACTCCAGGTTCTGCCAGAAGTACCAAAAAAAAGTATCATTCAAAAAAAAAAAAAAAGAATATGTAAAATTTATATGAAATAAAGCTTTATTTCTATCCATCTATCTATAAAGAAAGCAAAAACAAAACCTGGAGAAATGAAAAAATTACAAAAGTCAGTAAAGAAGAAGCATTAGTTTTTAACTTTAACACTAAAATAGTGGGAATAGAAAGAAAAATCAAGGCCTGGAGAAAAGAAAAAATATTGTTGGTGTTAAAAACATAAACAATAGGCTGATTTAATAAAAACTCTAAAATATACCGTAATTTAAAAAATACTAAAAAATAAAAATAGAATCTTCTCAAGAATAGTTATAGTTGTAATGTGAGTAAAGAGAACAAAAAAAAAAAAAAAAAAAAAAAAAAAAATATATATATATATATATATATATATATATATACAGAAAACAAAAACAAAACCTGAAGAAACGAAAAAATAACAAAAGTCAGGTCAGTAAAGAAGAAGCATTGATTTTTTATGTTAACACTTAAATAGTGGGCACTACTATTCACTTTTATTAATATTCAATGCATGAGTAGAAATTTTATGTTTGCATATCATCTGTTTAGGACGTAAGGAGGTATTTGAATGATGACAGGGAAGAGGCATGACGGATGTTAGATGGTAAGGAATCACAGAAGGTAACGGAGCGGGCTATAAAGGAACGTTCGTATGATTTAGTTCTATGGGAGAGAATATAGAGGTCAGAGACACATGATCTTGTTTTCGGCGAATGAACTGAAGGTTTGAAGTGAAGAAGATGGTACATATAGGAAGGGTGCTGGGAGTTGATCGTTTGGTACAGAAAATTTCCAAGGAAGTATTGGTGGCAGAAGGAGGGGAAAAACCACTGTAACCCATTAACCTGTGGTGGGACACATGGGACCGTCTTGAAGTACCGAAAACAAATCTTAATAAACAGTTAAAGATTTTCTTCAGTTCATCCTCGAGCACAATCGAGAGGCAACCATATACCACACAGCCATAGCCAAAGTGGGGGAAAATCAATGCGAAGGAGGAGCTTGCGGATTGGTTGTGGAATATGATGACGGGAACGATGGAATAATTTAAGAGTACCAATAGTCTTTCTGGAGATATGGGCTATATGAGGTTTACAGGAAAGATTTTCGTCAATGAAAGTTCTTAAGTTTTTTAAGGAGGATGTGAAGGAGATAGGTTGGTCATTAATAATTAAAGAAAGAAGGGTGGTAATGGATCTGAGGAGGGAGTTAGAACCTATAAGAATGGCCTGCGTTTTCGTTGTGTTTAACGTTAATTTATTCAAGTTTGCCCAGGCACTGATCCTATCTAGGTCTGTCTGAATATTAGCAAATGTTAATAACAAGTCGGTGGGTGGAAAGGATAAATAAATTTGGGAGCCATCCCCATATAGGTGGTGTGAGCAATGGAATCTGATGGCAAAGGAAATATAGGAATTAAAGCTGTCCACTTACACACACACAGACCATTTTGTGGGACTTGGTTTTTTGGACTCAGGGGACCCCTTATAACATGAATTTCCGTTGAAAACTCAGATTCAAAAATTTTCATGAATGAAATACTTTCCCTTACTACATATTGTTTATATTGGTAAGTGAAAGTAAAAAAACAGACAGCTCCTAGTAAATTCCCATGTTTTCCCCCCACTTCAACTATGATTGCTTGGTGTATGGATGGCTGTCCACAAGACTGAAGACTCATGATTTGCTTCATAAGATTCATCTTTGAGATTCCCAGGCGTTCCCATGTTTCCTGCTTAAATACCAAATTGAAGTGGTTCTATCCTATTTTCCGATGGCAATTCCTTCATGGTGTTTTTCTTTTCTAGGTCCTCAGAATCAAAATTCCTCCTTACATTCTAGATCTTATTACTCTACATTCCTCAATCCACTCTCTTAATACCAGATCTCAATCTATAGAACAATATATCCTCTCCAATAAAACCACTTGCTCCAGCAAATCCTCTGTCATTCATACCTCCTTTTGGAACTCATTGTTGTTTATTTTATTTTTTGTATATATTTTATGCCAGACAGATGTACATATTTCTTGAACTTATTATTCTTAGGGGATTCAAGTCCCAGATAGAAAAGAATAAAATTATTTTTCATTTCATTTCATAATAATGCACCTATGCTGGGTTAATAAACCACTCATAGGTAGTGCGGTTAGGTCTCTTTCAGAGAGAGGTACTACAGTAATTCAATAAACATTGTTAAGATATAAATGTGGATTAACTTTCTTATTTCCATAACCCAACAATAACTTTGTGAATGGCTTCTGCACAAGCATTAATTGGTTAGACCACTTTGGTCGCCTTAAGCATACCTAATACCAACAATAAAAAATTTAAACTAATAAATAATTAAAAAGAACTTACCTAGGTTGTTTATTCCTTATCTTTATCTGCTTTCTAACCTAACAATAAAAAATAAATAAATCATTGAAACTGAAATATATTTGTCAATATAAATTAATTAAAGCACAAAATATTAAAAAGAAAGAAATTAAAAATAATAAATAAATTAATGATTTTATTTTTCACTACTAACATAAACTAGTCTAATTTATTGAATCTTTTCATCTTACATCTGGGCAATGTCTTAAGGTTTTTGAAAATAGCGTATTGCGTAGAATATTCGGACCGAAGAAGGATGAGTTAACCGGAGAGTTCAGACGGTTACACAACGCCGAATTGCGTGAGCTGTATCCGGGTAATATAATTGAGGTAATTTCATCGCGTCGAATCAAATGGGCTTGTAAAGTTGTTGGGCTTAGTAACGAGAGAATTCCTAAAAGGTTAATATTTGCTGTGCCGAATGGTAAGCGCCCGAGGGATAGACCGAAGCGAAGGTGGGAAGATTGCATTAAAGCCGATCTGAAGGGACTGGGTTTGAATATAACAACGAAGGAAATATAACAATATTATTAATTGTGGGAAATGTGGAGATAATACACTTCTACAGTTCAGATCAATGCGATAGTGGGATTATAAAATGCCTTAATTGCCACAATGAACATCTGGCATATAGTACAAAATGTCTGGTATATGAATGAGAACAAAGAATTGAAAAGATTAAAGTGCAAGAAACAGTCTTATAAGCAGGCTGAGCTTATTGTGAAACGAGAAGAAGCAAGTACTGTAGTAGGTAACAAACGCGAGGTTGTAGTGCTGTCCAGGCAAGCTCCTCCCACTCATGTCCTAAACAGTCTTCCGGTGGAGCAATCGTACGTAACATTATTAGTAAACTGAGTAAGGTGGATAGAGAATCTGTGCAGATTACTTGTTATTGTTTAGTGGGATGTATAACATTTATGCTTTTGTGTTTTGCAACCAATTCAGCAGTATAATTATTATACAGTGATGATAGAGAAAATAAATATTGCCATCTGTTACGTACAACTGATGCTTCCATGCCAGTGGAACAGTCAGTGTAGATAAAGTCAGAATCACCTAGTCTGTCTTAAAGTTTGAGAAATTTCTGTCCTAAAACTCAATGGCGAGTTGTAGGCATTACAAACATAGATTTTATTAGTGTCCTGTAAAGAGTTAGCATACTTTTCTGATCGGCACCCCAACTAGTGTTACTGACCATTTTTAAAAAGTTCAAGAAATGAATGTAGTTTGCTTTTAATCATTTAATATGTTGAATCCAGATGAGTGTTCTGTCAAAGGTCATTCCTAGGTACCATACAGTGTGGGAGAAAGTGATTGGTTGATTGTCCATGGTTAGTGATGGCAATAGGTTTGGTTGTCTTTTACTAAAAAGAGTTGCAATTGTCTTACTTTTTGAAATTTTAAAATCATGACTTGCAAGCCAGGTACTGATGTTATCCAGAGAGGTTAGCATGTTATCTTATAATGCCATTACCTGTTTTCTTTCGGTATAAATTACAAGATTGCCATCCAAATTAAGCCTTTAACCGGTAACCTAATAACATTCAACACCTGATTAAAGCAGATGCAAAAAAGTGTCGTGCTCAATACACAACCCTGGGCACTCCATTCTCTTATTTGAATTCATGGGAAAGGACATAACCAATTTTAACCATGAAAGTTCTATTTGTTAGAAAATTGATTATGAAGGTAAGGACATGAGCATTATATTCAATCCTAACCAGAGGGTCAATTATAAGCCTATTCCAAGTGCTATCGAATGCATTTTCTTTGTAAAGAAATATAGCTAATATTTTTTTATTTGTTTTCAAAGGCATTTAAAACATCAGTCTGTAAACAAACCAGGTTGTCTCTAGTGCTTTTCCCTTGCCTAAACCCACTCTGCCATGCTAGCATTAGACTTTTCCAAATTTCAAATACCATAAAAATCCCTTACTTATTCATTTCTCCATCAATTTACAGATGAAAAGGTTAAGCTAATAGTTCTGTAACTATTAATATTAATATTTCATATCTTTTCAGAAAATATTAGTGAATTTTTTTTTTGTTGTATGATCTTTCCTCAGCCCTGAAACTTAGGCTAAAATATCGGTACAAAATAATATAGTTTTATTTGTTTTTTTCACTGTGATTGCAACCCTCAACTACCTTTCACCCCTTACTCGAATTTTAGGCTATATTAGGTGTTTCCTGGGCCAATGGATACGAACTCGTAATTATGTTATTACATAAACGGTTTATCAGGTTGCTGAGAAATGCATGTGTTTTCACAAGAACTAGCCCCCTCAGCCATCCCACCCAATTTAATTTAATTTGACAATATGATTATATACAACTTTACAAATAAATTTAAAAAATAACATAACCTTTAAAAACAATATGACAACTTTCCATATCTTTCAAGTATGCCTAGTTTAGTTTTGCTTTGTCCCTTGCACATGTTCTTTTTGAGCTGTGTATTTTTTTCCTAGGCCTCACAGCAACAATTTTGGTCTACCTACTGTGAAAGAAGCTCAACTTTGCATTTATATCGCTGTGGCCTGTAAACAGCTGCACTGTCCGGAAATCTATCTTAAACCAGTCATTCTTAATTCTTTCTTGTGTCAAGCCATTCTTAATATTTTTTTTTTTCCTTTTACTTCTTAATCTCTCTTTCTTCACCAAGAAATTCGGAGCTTCAGGTTAGGAGAGCGATAATTGTACTGGCTGGGATCATATTTGATCGGACAGACCCAACAGAAGTGAGGGCTCAAAACAATTGCATGGAAAGACTAGAGTGCGGTTTGAATGCCCCCAGGGTTCTGTTCTTGGACCACTATTGTTTTTCAGGCATATTAATGCCGTTGTCAAGGCTCTGAAATTCTGTAAAATCCGCATGTTTTGCAGATGAGGTAGGTATCTGACTTCTGCATTGCTGGAGGAGGTGGTTGACACTATGCAGAAGTTAATTATGATAGTAATGGACTTCAGCTCTGGTCCTCCTCTAACATAATACTAAATATGTGATAAATAGAAATAGAATGCAAATTGTTAAATGAATAGAGAACTGTTATTGTACATTTGTCTGTAAGAAACGGCTGTAGGCCCTAAGACAATAAAGAATCAATCAATTACTCTCTTCCTTCTTCTTCTTCATCTTGACTTCTCTACCATATATTAAAAATCCAATTTAATATAAGAAAAGAAATAAAATTTTCAAATCAGTCAAAATTTTGAGTTTTAAAGTATGATTTTTGTATCTTTTCTGCAATTTGAATCTGACTTCCTAGGATGGGCAGACGAAGTTTTTTTGTATCAAGTAAAATTCTAGTCTAATATAAGAAAAGAAACAAACGTTTTCAAATAATTTATTTTTATTTTGTCTGCTCTATGTATCTGACTACTCAGGATGGGTTACGGTTATATATGTAACAGGTGACTGAGAAGAGTCGCTTGTCTTCGTTCTCGCATAGTATCGATGAGGATTCATTTTTATTTCATACTCAAATTATTTACAAAAGGGTGAAATTATAGTGATATATTTAATTATTTTTTAGTACCGTGGATAATCTCACATTTTGGACTAAGTCTACCAGATGGGGGGGGGGGGGAGTCTCGTATTTTGGACCTAGTCTACCAGGGCTAATTTTGGATATTCTCTCATTCACGATCATCCTCTACCATTTAGACATTGTAGTAGAGAGATTGATGTCTAAATTGTTTTACAACACTGTAGTAAATCGAGATATAATAGCCAACTGTATCTGCTGCTGGACTGGACCTAGATTAAGTTATTACATTTAATTATTTTGCCTTTTTTTATATTTTCTGGTTTGTAATACTCAAGGTCAATAAAATTACCAAGTTCGCTCACTCAGAAATGCTTGGCAGAGGAACTTAAAATATGACATAAGGACTAGACCACCAGACCTACCTATTACTCTTTCAAGCCTATCAATGAAGGTTTATTTCGACATTATTGTGTTTTCTTTTTATTTTATTGTTTAATTTATTGAAAAGAATACTTATCTGTGTTTTTGACATTTGATTGAGGGTAATTTCAAGCAGATAAATAAATAAATAGGACTAGCAATCTCTTTTAAATTCTTTATTTCAAAGTCATATACTGTAAAAAATCCACAAATATATTACATAAACAGAAAAAACAAAGATCTATACTTTTAAAAGACATAATGGTAATATGATTTAAAAATCAAATAATTAGGAAACAAAAAAGTTTTAATGTCTAGGAACAAAATAACCATTACAAAAAACACATATATACACAATATATATATATATATATATTGTATTACTAAAGCCGAGGCATTAAAATAATAGGAAATTCATTATTATTCATTTTCACAAAAAAGAAAGATCACCCCTCATTGGAAACCTTTAGTGGAAGCAAGATCATTACTGATATAATATTAATTCAATATAATTAACCCGTGTGAGTACCCCTTCTATATTGCCTTTAATTATATTTCTTCAAAAATATTGACCGTGTAAGGGGCCCTTTAGTGTATTGAAAAAAAAAAAAAAATCAACTTCTAAAATTACATTTTATTTGTTTTAAAATAAACAAAATAGCAAATGAACCTTTCTGTCACTTTTTAAATTTATCAATATTAATAAATTAACAGTCTATCATACCTTAAAGTATTGATTTCATGTAGAAAGGTAAATAATAATCTTAAAACATCAAGAAACAAGGGACGGAGGGGTATTATCGGTCTAGTGGTTACGTCAGATCTCGATTCCTCCCCACTATTTTCCCTCTGAGTGAGCGAACCTGGTAGCTTTATAGACCTTGGTAATACTCATGTACATATTCTGTTTGCACTTAAGTAAATATTAAAGGAGCATTTTTTTTGTTTGTGGTGCAAGTTTCTTATATAATATTTAATGTTTTTAAATATTATATAATCCTTTTTTATATCTAACAAATGACAGTAGAATTATATTAACTATTAATGTTAATCTGGTCATAGTAGACAGTTTTTTTATATTAGGTTAAAATCTAGTTTAATATAAGAAAAGAAATAAACATTTTCTAATAATCAGATTTTGGTGTTTTTAATGATTGTTTTAGAAGGCCACTATGTTAGATTTTGAAATTACTATTGGTCAACCGTAGAGGCAGATAAAAATAGAATTAATGTACAAGACAAGTTGGATAAAACATAAAAAAATTTCTTCAATAATGCATCATTGAGGCCCTCAGCTCTTGGACTAATAGAGAAAGCATCTTCAAATTGAGTTCGGTTGTGATCTCAGTCTGTCAGTATAAAGCAACAGCCTATCAATTGGAGATTACATTTTAATTAACTACAGATATTAAAGTTCAATAAAGCAAAATTTCAACTCTTCAGAAATAGGTGAATTTTAGTCAAAATTGAAAATTTTCAATCAGAATCTGCCTATTTATGCAACCTAAAATAAGCAGACAATATTACTTCTTTCTTTTATCATACATATTCATTGTATTTATAGTTTCAAGGCTCCTAAGATTGGTAAATATATTATTGTATTATCGGAAATAGTTCATTCAAAGGATGGTTGGAAGCAGAAAGGATTTTAATAAAGTAAATACAGTCAAGTTGTGGTCTCCATATTTCAAGAGGAGGCTTGCCAGCTTCGACACATGGCCTACATATCTTTTCTTAAATGTAGTTGGCCAAAGGATGACAGCGGGACAGAAATGACAAACTGCTCTGGCTCCAGGGCTATCGCTCATAAATAAGAAATATGCAACTTATTACGTATTTAGGACAATTTTAGTTTTTGTGCTTACAGGTGAGGCTGTCGATATTCTTTTTATTGAGTTCTTGACATTATTGTTAGTTCTGAAATACATTTATATGTATAAGGTTATAATTTGGAACAGAAAAGAACTAATCGAAACTAACATTTATGTTCTGTCTCTTGATTAGTTTGTTATTAATTTATACTTATTATTTGAGAAAAATGAAAAAAAAAAATTTTAAGCAATTCTTTTTCTTTTTTTTATCATGATAGTTCTCTTCTAGCAATGTTATTAGAAACAAAACATTAAAATAATACAAAGCAACTAAAGCATGTAGTGAAAAAAAAATTTTTTACCTTTGATAGATTTTCAAGATTATGACATTCATCACTACATTCTTGATCCTTTTTAAAACTTTCTTGAAGAGGGTTCTCCAATCTTTCATCAAGTTTAACTTCTGTTTTCTTTTGTTTACTTAGATCATTTCCAAATTTATTTTTCATCACTGTAGATGGCTGTTTCATAATATTCTTAGAACAACATAAACCATTTTTCCCATAAAAAAATGCTGGTTTTTTTTGTGGTTTCGCAGATAATTCACAAGGAAATTTGTTTCTAGATGTGGCATAAAAAAAGTAATAATATTGAGAACAGAGAATAATATAATAAACAAACACAAAATAAAAAACAAATACCAAAAAATAATAGTTTACTAATAAAAATTATTAGAAAAAATAAGAAAATAATATAATTATAGCTACAATGAAATATAATGAAAGTTCAAATATTATTTTAAAACTTTTTAAATAAACTTACATATAAATATTAGAGAATTTTATTCTTTTATAACATTTGCAACAGCACATTAACGTATCTAACAAATTTGATGATAAATGATTAGTTTCTATGTTTTTTTCTTGATAATTGCCCTGACTTATTGAGTTATTGGTGAAGTAAGATTTTACTGTAGCAGTTAGAATTTGATTATATGATGATTTGTTAACAATTTTTCGAAGAATTATAGATTGTGTTGTTTGTATTTTGTTTATGAGTGTTTGTTTTGCTGAACCCCAAAGTTCTGCACTGTACATCGAAATTGATCACAGTGCTGTAGATTAGTCACTTGTTTCTTAGGTTAAGGAAGGGTCAGTAGTACAGAAGATTTGAGAGTTGATTATATCGCCTTGTCAGTTCTTGTCTTTTTAGTTTAGTATGTATGTTTAAAATTGAGTCTGGCCATGGCTGTGTAGTGTTAGATCATCTCCCTGTTCACCTTCTATATGTAAATTTAAAGTTGTTAAATCTTGTAATTGTTTAGAACTGGAGCATTAAAATTGCTGGATGAACTTTTTAAATATAAGACAGACATCACTGCAGTACAAGAAATGAGATAGGTAAGCTCTGGAATCATGGAGGAGATCATACCCATCTACCATAGTTGCCACCGGAATCAACATGTCTTTGGGGTAGGTTTTGGGGTTATAGGTAATATGAAAGAGCATGCCATGGATTTCGAGGCAGTTAACCATCGATTACACATGCTGAGAATTAGGAGAACATTTAGAAATTACTCTTTGGTTTTGGTTCATGCACCATAGTTCAGGGTGACCTTAATGTACAGGTCGGAAGAGAGCCCGCTCTTTAGCCAATAGTAGGAAGATATAATAGTTTACATCCAGAATCTAATGATAATGGTTCAAGGCTTTTGCCTTGAAGGACCTTTGCTTCAAAGGTGGATTTCGCTGCATCCCAAGATATGGTTATTGGTAGTACTATTTTTGACGGTAAAAACATTTATAAAGCTACGCGAGTTACCCCAGACAAGACTAGTACCCAAATTGACCGTATTCTTGTTAGTCGGAAACAAAGGTTTAGTTTTATGGCAGTGAGAACATTCAGAGAAGCGAATGTTGACAGTGATCACTACCTGGTCGTATCACAAAATCGAGCCAGAATAAGTAATGCTCATAAAACGAAAGGGGCTCAAATGGAAAGGATTGATACTTGGAAACTACGGTAACCAGAGTGTAAGGAGGAATTCACCCAGAGACTTGATAAAGCTTTAGAAGGAGGCCCTTATGAAGATACGGTGAACGGAAGATCGAACCACTGCAAATTTACCATCAAACAACCTGCAGAAGAGGTTTTGGGTATGAAGGAAGCATACCAAAGATCTGAATGGTTTGACTCGGAGGGCCAGACAATGACAGATAGGAAAAACGAAGCTTATAGGAGAATGATAGAGAGGAACAGAACTCGCCAAGCAGTTATATAAAAATATAAAAATAGAAGGCGAGAAGAGAAATTCATTCATTGAAGGAAAAAGAGGAAAAAAGAACAAGAAGAAATAAAAGAAATCGAAGAACAAAGGAGTCAAGCGGATGTAGGACCCTTCTACAAGACTGTGAATGCCCAGTGTAAGGAATTTAAGCCTAGATTCAATGCTTGCCGAGAAGAGGATAGATCATTAATTACAAGCAAAGACACCATTATTGACAGATGGGTCACCCATTTTGGAAGTATTTTGGGAACCCCTCAAAACCCCTGTAATTCCTGTTCTATGCAATGGCTTCAAGTTAACCGATCCACCAGATGACCAGGAAATCTATGACTCTATCCAAAAACAAAAGAACAACAGAGTCCTAAAATCTGATAACATAGCCGCGGAGCTTCTGAAGGCCAGAGGGAACAAACTAATCAAACTTATCCATGGCCTTCTCCATAGTATTTGGATAACTAAGACCATGCCTGAGGAATGGTACACTGGCGTCATCATCCCTCTCCAATTAAAATCTGGTGCGCGCAACACACAACTTTCACTTACCACTGTACTTTGAATAGAAATTATTTTCAGGAAATGTTGGGCTATTATAAAAATTTTTGAAGTGCATTTTAAATGGAGCTAAAGCTTAAAGCTTACAGATCATTAAGACCATTAAAATAACAAAAAGTATATTTATTATTTTGACGGTAGGCAATAAAAATCTAGTTAAACCATCTGTTTTTATAAACCACACAACTTCAGTCTCTGAGCCTTTCAGGTGACAGAATGACTTACTACAATTTCAACATTTTTGAGTAATGTCATTTTAGTGATATTTCTAGTAGGAAAAATTGTATCTATACAGACAGTGAGTAAGTTACTTCCAGAGTAGGTGATTGCATTGTTGAAATATAGGATTGTGAATAAAGGTATAAATTTTGCCATTAGAAACATCACTAAAATTAATAATAAACAATGTTGAAATTGGAGTTAGTCATTCTGTCAACGGAAAGGCTCATATATGCCTAGAGAGATTTGAAAGTACATCTGAATATTTAACCAATAAATGATTATCGATTATACCACTATTAGTTATTAAACTGTTATTTTCCATTGTAAAGTTTACTAAAATGATATTACGAGATTTTCATTGCCTGCCATGGTTAGGTCAAAAGTTGTCCCCCTAATTGTAAGTGGATAATGTTGGGATTTCACAAAGGGAAAATTCATCAAATTATTCACTAATTTAATTTTCTAGAAGGTTGATGATTTCTTGGAATAAACTGTCAACAGATACCTGATTATTTAAATATAATATCATCTCTAGAGTTTATTAAACTACTGTAAATATATTTAAGGTTATAAACATATCCATGGAATATTTTTATATTTCACTTCTTCTTTCACACAAGCACAATGAAATATTATTTTAAACAATGGAATTGGATTGATCCGGTGGATTTTAAATACTTTTTTACTTTATTTAGAAAATTTTTTAAAAGTTTACATTTAGCAAGAAAATTTCATTTAATTTTCTTGAAAACATGCGATTTAAATTAAATAATGTTAGATTTAGGAAATTATTATTTATATTTTTTTCGTCACTCTGTTATCTTCTACAACTTTATTTATCAGATATTGACATTGATATTATTTTTTCAAAAATTCTCCTCTTTCCAACGATATATTATACGTATACATTCTGACCGTTATTTCCGAAGATTCTTTATCAACCTGGATAATCATTTTTCTATTTTTTTCTAGTTTCCAATTATATTCTTTCAAACTACATATTTGGCCATTTTTTATAGTTTCTGTCAATATAACAGAGTTAATTTGTTTAAATAATTCATATTAAAGGTACTTTAGATGAAGACGTACATGAACATTGGGCATTCAAGCTCTGTAAAGTGACATCAATGGAGATAAAACCTAATAGTATTAAACACTAAAAAAAAAAAAAAAAATTATTAGAAAAATTAAAAATTGTCTAGAAATGATAAGAGATGGTAGAGAAATAAATTTATTCAATAGAAGATCCACTGAAAATTCATGCTTTGATTCATCATCAATTGTCATCTCTATTATTTGTAGATATGATTAAATATGCATGGTTTGTCTCCAAATTAACTTCTAATAGAATAGTTGGACGTTACTATTAAAAAAGAAGGGAACTGCAAATGCAAAGCTCCACTAATGCCAAAAATGTATTTGTTTCCATTGTTTTTATGTCAACTATCATCCAAAGTGAGTAAAATAGTTATTTAACTCAAAGGTATTAGGGAATATGGACGTTTTTATCATATATAACGTATATGATATGTGCAATATTTTAGTTTTTGAATCATACATACCTGGCTTTGTGCATCTAACTATACAAATCCTATACGGGCAGATTAGAAAAACATATTGTATTTGAAGAGAAGAATAGTTGGGGTGATCAGTAAAAAAAAATTGTAAAAATCAAAAATTATATTCATTTTTATTTTTGCCGACGTTTCAGTTTTAAGTTCAGGGCAAAGAAAAAAACAGATAACAATAGGTATGATAAACTAAAAACATTGAATAATAAAGAATTAAAATTAAAAAGGTGAAAGGTATAGACTAAAAAATGTAGGTAGAATAAACTTAAAGTAAAATAAAGTAGATAGAGTGAACATTAAAGTAAAATAAAGTTGGTAGAATAATAACAGTAACAGAGAACTAAGAAAGAAATAATAACGTTAACAAAGTTAATAAATAAATAATAACGGTAACATATTATATTTGGTAGAACTGGAGTATAAGCTCAATATTGACACTTCTAAGTGTCACAGTTGACAAAATGGTTAAATGATAGAATTTGAAAATAACAGGTGTTGTAAATAAATTTATTTATTTTTTGCTAAAGAAGGTTATAAGGTTGGAGAGTGTAATATAGACTGAAAACTTTCTTAACTTTGGACGCGAGTTATTCAGTCACGCCTCCCAATACGTGGTTTGTGATGGATCAAAGGAAATAAATAAGATCAAAGAGAAACTAACGTTAATCCTGGAAGATGTCAAGAGTTGGTTGCGATAGGCGCAAGAAAATAATGCTCGACGTTATAATCTTAGATGTAGGCCAGTCAAGTTGGTTGAAGGTCAACAAGTATGGATTAAAACGCACGCCCTCTCGGACTTGAGTAAATACTACACAGCCAAACTTGCACTAAAGTATGAAAAAGGTATAGTCAAAAGAGTTTTGTCCGATCTGGTGTATGAGGTGGTCGATGAGACTGGAAGACCGTTGGGGAACAGACACATTCAGGAATTGAAAGTCGACTCACCCGAGAGTGTAAACAATGCAGAAGAATGCCCTTCGCCATCCCCA